TCCTGTTCCTTGGCAGAAATTGGTTTTAAACAATGACTAGCATTCTAGAAGAACCCGGCAATGTCTATAAAATCAGTTTCTGGAAACTCCCAGGAAGCCAAGCCCTGGGGCAGAGTACTTTTCCTTCCCCCCTAAAGAGTCTTGTTAATTCACGCAAGATGCCAAGTGCCCAGTTCCCTGTGGAAGCACACACCCCTCCCCCAGGAGGCTGCCCACACCCCAAGGAAGGGACATTGTGTATCTCCGTATTTGCCTGTCCCTCGATATGTACTTTGCCCGTGGCAAATATGCAAACAAGTTTTGGTCACCTCCCTACAAGTTTACTGGGGTCCATGAGGTGAGGACCAACTGCTGGTTGTTTTGACCTTCTGCTCTCTCAGCTCAGGCCAACAGTGAGGAACAGTCTGTCATCCACTTGTTCAATATTGAGAACTCTCTGTGTCAGGCACTGTGCTAAGGGCTCAGATAGAGAAACGAATAAGACACAACCTTGATCTCAAGCACTTCACAGATGACTGGGGAAAACCACCAAGTAAACATAATTACCATGTGGTACAGACATAGGGTAGCAGGGTTCATGGGTATTATTAAACATAGTACCAAATACTATGTGAATACTTACCAGACGGGCACTCAGCTGACCCAGCGAGAAACCAACGTTGGAAAATGTGCTCTTGAGGTGGCTATGACTGAGGAATCAGCTAGGAAAAGATAAATGCAGACAGCAGAGGATGGACATATTTCAAAGGGAACAAGCTAAGCAAAGGTCTGGAGGTGATCAGGTATGTTTGCCCATTTTTTGTCACTATAACTAAATCCCCGAGGCTAGTTAACTTATAAAGCGGGTTATTTAGCTCACAGCTTTTGAGGCTGAAAGTCCAAATAGCATAGTGCCAGCTCTGGTGAGGGATCCTGGCTACATCACATCATGGTGGAGGCATCAGGACAGGAGTGTGAGTAACGAAGAGAGATCCCATGTGAGCCAGAACTACCTTAATCTCTTCTGAGGAAAACATCCCCAGCAAGATCTGGGCCCTCCCATTGGCCCGGCTCTTAAGGGACCTGCCACCACTCAGATGGCTGTAGGGAGTGCAAAGTGCCAGTGTGGCCCCCATGCCATTTGAAAACTTTCCAGAAAAGCAGACCTTGAGGCGGAGGGTGCAATGTCTGGTATCCAGTGTGCGCTCAAGCGATGAGGGTCTTGGCCCTGCAGAAGCTGTAGCTACCTGGGCAATGTTCCCCCAAAGACCAGGCCTGCCATGCCCAGGAACCTCACTTGAATCAGCCACAGTGGCCCAGCCTGAGGCTGGTACCCACACACACGCCCACACACTCTGCTCAAAGCCAGGTTCTCCCTGCCCCCCACCCCATGATGGAGAGGAAGCCTGATTCTCTTGGCCATTTGCTTTCCAGAAGAATAACTTTCGGTGCAACTTCAGCCTGTAACAATTATGGAAAATAAAATGAAGAGTAAGAACAGGAAGACGGCTAGCAGATAGGGCGCAATGGGGGGGGGGGAGGCCTGGCTACCACCCTGGCTCTGCAGGAGGCAGACACAGACCTGCTCCCTCCAGGGTGAAACGACCTCGGGAGTGTGAATCTAGGCAGTGGAAAGTCTGATCCTGCCTCAGGGGGGCCTTGAACTCAGGGCCTGAGCCCCTAATAGGACCCCTGGGATGGGAGATCCCAGGCGGGGGGACTTCTCCTCTCTCTGGCCCAGCTCCAAGGTCCTCCTAGCCCCTCTGCTGACTCCCATCTCCACCCCAGCTCCTTAGCCCAAGTGGATCTTCCTCTCTCTGGAGCTCACCTGGGTGACCTGAGGGGACCTCTCACTCTCCTTCAGGGCCTGTTTCAAGGACACAGGCCTGTGCCTCAGGAGCCTCTACAGAGGAATGAGGAGCTGAGCTTCCAGTACTCAGTGCTCACCGCCAACAGCCATGACCAACACATGTTGGCCGGTGTCGGCCCTGCCCACTCGTCCCCCTCTTGGAATCCTCCACACCCACAGCCATTTTCTGTCAGGCCCTAGATGTCCGACAGGCAGAGCACTGAGCACAGGCCCCTAAGTCGTTTCTCAGCAAATTCCATGCCCCCAGGCCTCACTCTTTCTGTGTGCAACCCATAAAGAGCTCTTTGACTGAAGTTCACAGAGTTGTGACCCCAAACGTGATAAGACCCAGGAATTCTCCAGAGTTACAAGAAACGGGGGAGGGGAAGCAGAAAGGTGTGTCCACATTTTTACTGAGGTCCCAAGGGACTCTTGGAGACTGAGTGGGAGCGGAGGTTAGGCTTCTCTGGGAAGCTTGGGTCGCTCTCTGAACTGGAAATGGCTTCAACGGCCAAACCAAGGAAAGAGGTCCCCTCCCGTGGTGGCCCTTTGGAGGCTCCCCCCTACTTCGCCCTCTCCCGTGGCCCTCTTTTGAAGGCCCCCCACCGCCCACACTAGGGGCCTTTGCCACTGTCCCTGGCCCCCGGGAGTCAGGGCTGGGCCAGGCTCCGGTGCAGGCTGGGGCCCGCGGAAGGGGTGCAGAGTGGGACGGGGCGCTGGTCAGGCCTCCGCGGCCAAGTGCTGCGCCCTGCGCGCCCGCGACCCCCGGTTGCGTCACCCGGCCCAGCGCACCCTGAGACATCACAATCTGG